ACCAGCTTTAGCATCAAAAATACAAGAGTGAGTATCACCAATGAAATCAGTTGAAACAACCTAATAAATAATAAAAAGGCAAGAATGAATAATAGATTAAATTAATAAAAGAAACTTATTAAATTTTAAGTTAATAGTTACATCATCTTCGGTGTAATCAAGAATTCCTTTCAGTTCGTTTTGAGAAGCACGCTTCATGCAAGCCTTTATCGTCTCATAATCAGTTTCTTTAGCCAGACGACACGTCAAGTCAACAACGGATACGTCCGTTGTTGGGATACGGAATGACATACCAGTAAGTTTTTTATCCAAGGATGGAATAACCTGATAAAATAATAATAATAATAAATGTTTAAAACAACATGAATGCAGCATAAATATATAAATACGAACTTTGCCGACAGCTTTTGCAGCACCTGTCGAGCTGGGAATAATGTTTTGTGCTAATAAAAAATAAAAAATAATAAATAATTATAATGAAATAAATATTATATATGACACAATTTCTATACAAGATATTGTAAAATCAAATAAAAAGATAACTAACATGCGCCTCTTCCTCCTCTCCAATCCTATAAAAATGGTAAAATGTAAGTTGTTTACGAGTTAATAATAAGAATAAGAATAGTAAATAACTTTTTTTATAAATCATACTTTGCCAGAGGGACCATCAACAACTTTTTGCGTAGCAGTTGTAGAGTGAACTGTAGTCATCAACCCTTCAATGATACCAAATTCATCATGGAGAACCTTGGCTAATGGTGCCAAGCAATTGGTAGTGCAAGAAGCATTTGAGATCACTTTATATTCAGGCTTATAGGCTTCCAAATTTACACCACAAACAAACATTGGTGCATCGCTGCTTGGTGCACTAATAATGACCTGTAATAAGGTATTAGTAATAATGATATATGAATGAACAATAAATATCAAAGAAAATAAAAATGTACCTTCTTAGCACCCTAATAACAATTAGACATATAATGAATGCAAAAATTTAAATGTTGATAGATAGATATATTTTAAATCACAATATACATCAAGTAAAATCAAAACACAAACCCCTAAACGGCA